CTTGTTATGTAATTATATATTTATTATCACAGATTGTGCTAATGTACCATGGACTATAGATATAGGTTTTATGCAGGAGTTCTCTAAGACCTGAAAATCATTTCAAAGACTCCTCCAGGGTAAAAAGATTGAGATTTGAGGTGATGAAAATGTTTTGAAACTAGTTAGAGGTGTTAGTTGTTGCACAACAGTGTGAATGTACTACGTAGCACTGAATTGTATAATTTTAAATAGTTAGTGGTTAATTTCATGTTACATGAAATTTACCTCAAAACATTTTCAAAAAATATATTGAGAAAGGCTGACAAGGCTCTTTGAAGGGTGAGAGATGAGATCTGACCTTGAAAGAAGCTGAAGATCTAAATTTAAATAAGAATTGCCCAGTCTGGACAATAGAGTAAGACCGCATCTCTACCAATAATAATTTTAAAAATTAGCTGGGTATGGTGGTGCATGCCTGTAGTCTCAGCCACTGTGGCAACAGAGGTGGGGAAATGTCTTGAGCCCGGGAGGTTGAGCCTGCATACAGTGAACTGTGAGCTGTGATCTTGCCGCTGCACCCCAGCCTGGGAGAAAGCGCAAGACCCTATCGCAAAAAAAAAAAAAAAAAAAAAAAAAGCAGAAAGAGTGAACTCCTCATCATTCATTAGAGACACTCAGGATCAGGATGGGCCACACAACCATCTGTCCAAAATACTGTAGAAAGGATTTTTGGCTTTGGCTGGAAATGTCTCTTTTAATTTTAATATTTTCAATTTTAATAATATGCCCAAGATTCTCTTGCTCAATACAAGTTCAGCATGGAAATTGTTGGAAAAAAGATACAGTGTATCTGGAATTTAGTTGTGATATTTCCCTAAGGTTTTCAACTTATATCAAAATAATTCTAATGTCATCAAAGGCACAAATGTTCATATTTTAGAAGGCACAATACTTCTTGTATTTCAGAGAGAGAAATATAAGTTGCATATCATCTAGCCGTGGACAGAAATCAATCTATTGCTTATGACTGACCACTGGCAGCTAAGTAAGGGGCACATAAGTTCCTTTTCAATTTATATGGAAAAGCAATAAAAGTTAGCTGTGTTATAATTTTAAATCCAAACAGCCAAGTAATTATGCTATCTACAGGAGGCCAAGGTTTTTCACTCGGTAATTTAATTCAGCAAGCGGGGGTGGGGGGGGGATTAAAAGGCGAGATATGGCTTTACTGACTTTCTGACCATTCTATGCCAGAGAACATCCAATCTTTTAACTAAGTACAAGTTTTTAAAATATTAATTTGTGGGAAACACATAGTACATTTAGTACCAAGGCTAGTGTAACAATTTTTTAAATGCAGTCACCTCATTTTGGCACATACTAGGATACTCAATAAATAAATAGATACTGATTTGTTGAATGACAGACAGTCCAAGGTACTGTCATTCTCTGTTACACATGCACATACACACACGCACACACACCCACTCCCATTGTTCTCAGGCACAAAGTAAATAAATGTTTTAAATACTCATGAGTCTAGAAATAGACCCACACATAGATGGATGTTTGATTTTTGACAAAGTGGCTCTGCAGAGACGTGGAGAAAGAGTGATCTTTTCCAAAAATTATTCATCAAAAACATCATTAAGAGAGGGAAAAGGCCAACCACAGACAAGAAAATATCCAAAATTTATATATAAGTTCTACAAATCACTAAGAAATAGGCAAACAACCCAGTAAAAATTAGACAAGAGATAAGTAGGTGCTACATAAAAAAGTAGTGACCAACAAATGGTCATACAAATAAAGCCAGTCACCGTGGCTCACACCTGTAATCCCAGCACTTTGGGAGGCTGAGGCAGGCAGATCACCTGAGGTCAGGAGTTCAAGACCAGCCTGGTCAACGTGGTGAAACCGTGTCTCTATTAAAAAATCAAAAAAAAAAAAAAAAATTAGCCAGGCGTGATGGCGCATGCCTGTAATCCCAGCTACTCGGGAGGCCGAGGCAGGAGAATCGCTTGAAACTGGGAGGCGGAGGTTGCAGTGAGCCGAGATTGCACCATTGCACTCCAGCCTGGGCAACAGAGCAACACTCTGTCTAAAAAAAAAAAAAGTAGTGACCAATAAATGGTCATACAAATGACCAATAAATGTGTAAAACATGCTCAATTTCATTAGGAATCAGGAAGTACAGATTGTAACTGCAAAGAGTTGCTATACCCACCAACCAAAAAATCTAAAATTTAAAAGACTAACAATACCTAGTGTTAGAATGTGGAGCAACAGGAACATAAAATGCTGGTGGGAATTTAAGTAGTATAATCACTTTGACAGCATCCACTAAAGCTGAACATATGAATACTGCATGATCTAGCAATCCTACCAAAAGACACGAACAAAAATAGTCACAGTAAAACTATTCTTAACAACCCCAAACAAGCCAAATATTTATCAAGAGTAAAATGTATATATAAATGATGTGAAAATCATACAATGCAATACTACAGAGTAATAAAAATGTACAAACTACCTCTACAGACAGCCACATGGACAAATCTAACGAACATACTGTTGAGCTAAAAAAGCCAGTCACAAAAGAATAAACATCAAACATTTCCATTGATAAAAGGTTCAAAGGCAAGCAAAACCTAATTATAGTGATAGGAGCCAGAACAGTGGTTACATTTGGAGAGCAGGGAAGGCATAATGAACAGAAAGGTTCGTAGGTAGAGTTGTTACATAAAATACAAGATGCTCAGTTAAATTTGGTAAACAATAATCCTTTCCCATAAACAGGTTCCATGCGATATTTAAGATGTGTATTTTTATTTGCTAAATCTAGCAGCCCCAGTCAAGGGTAGTATTTTTGGAGAACAGGAAATATTTTATTTTATTTATTTATTTATTTATTTATTTTGAGACAGGGTCTGGCTCTGTTGCCCAGGTTGGAGTGCAGTGATGCAATCATAGCTCACTGCAGCCTCGACCTCCCAGGCTCAAGTGATTCTCCTACCTCAGCCTCCTGAGTAGCTGGGACTACAGGCATGTGCCACCATGCTTGGCTAATGTTTTCAATTTTTTGTAGAGACGAGTTCTTACTATATTGCCCAGGCTGGTCCCCAACTCCTGGGCTCAAGGGATCCTCCCACCTCTGCCTCCCAAAGTGCTGGGATTACAGGCGTGAGCCACCGTGCCCAGCCCCCATATTTAATTTCTTGATGTTCATTTTGTGATCATCCATTGTGCATCTTTCTGTATATGTGTTGTACTTCATGATCTTAAAAGTTTTTTAAAAAGCAAAAATACACTCAGAACCTTGCAGATTTATAAATATCTCATCCATCCACTGTTTTTCCTTCCCATCCTTAATCACTGCACGTGAGAGCTATGATACTTCTGCAGGAGGCAGGCATTGGTAATCAGAGTGTTGCTGGGCAAAAAGCTGTAGGCTTTACTTTCATTTTTTATTAAAATTACTTTTACACAGCATGCTTCTTTACTTCTGGAATCTGTTTTCATGTCCCGTCTCTCAGGGACCTTTCTTATTTGCGTGGCTGGCTTAAACTTACCAAAGGACAATGCTATGCTGGAAGGCCAGCCTCTACCCATCAACCAAGAAATGCACAAATCAGTGTTCAAAGTTGGACTGACCAGACATGTGGGGGTCAGAATTCAATGACCTGAAGCTACAAAGAAAACTGGTACTTTAGGGCCAACAACTTAGATACAGACACTGGAAACTATAAAGTCAAGTACTTCAATCTGCTGCCTGCTTTCTAAAGTTATCAAAGGTTTACGCAATTGCTTTGAGTGGCTCCATCTAATTCCCTCCCATCTAATTGGGAATTAGCTTTTCCTGCAGACACAGATGGCTGACCCAAGTGAAGAGCAGTAACCAGTATAAACAAAAGCCTGAATCATTTTCCTTCTGTCGTTTAAATGAGGTGCTATTTATTGTCAAAAGTTCTTTCATGCTCAGGGTTTTTTGTGTTGTGTTGCTTTGTTCTGTACGTTCATGTTCTTTTGAAATGAACCCCTCCAGGACAGGCGCGGTGGCTCAGCCTGTAATCCCAGCACTTTGGGAGGCCGAGGCGGGCAGATCAGTTGAGGTCAGGAGTTTGAGGCCAGCCTGGCTAACATGGTAAAACCCCATCTTTACTAAAAACACAAAAATTAGCCGGGTGTGGTGGCGGGCGCCTGTAATCCCAGCTACTCAGGAGGCTGAGGCAGGAGAATCGCTTGAACCTGGGAGGTGGAGGTTGCAGTGAGCCGAGATCCGGCCACTGCACTCCAGCCTCCAGAGTGAGACTCCGTCTCAAAAAAAAAAAAAAGAAAAAAAAGAAGAAGAAATGAACCCCTCCCAACCTCCCAATTATAAATAGAGGGGAAAAAAAAAAAAATCCCTCCAAGTTTGGGTGCCTGTCTCTATAAAGTTTGGGAGTAAACTTTACAGGCTGCCACTCTTATCTGCCACCTACCCCTCTTGATAAGTGCCAAATTTCTTCGATTTGATAATTGAAATGGTATCTTTTTTCACACAGGATACGGGGCATAATGATTAGGCTTCTGGGCTGTGGAGACAAGGTTGCTTGAAAGAAACCCAGCTTCACCACTGAGACTGTGTAGCTCTGTGCCTCAGTTTCCTCAATAGTAACTGGGAATAAAAACTACCTAATTCAAAGGGCTGTTGGGACACTGGATGCTGCATAAGGTGATTAAAGCACAGCGCCTGGCACACATTAAACCCGCAATGGTTATCGTCACTATTATTCGTTACCTTTGAGGGTCCTGTCACCTATAAGGGGTCTATATATATGTTTCTAAATTAGGAAAAACATTTAGATGCAGTTGGAGAGATGGGAGAAGGAGCCTATTAAGTTTGGTCCAAGTTGCCACCAACCCAGGGCAGCAGCATCGGGTCTCCAGGAGAGTCCGCGGAGGTGGCCACGCCACGACCCTGCCTGGACCCCAGACTCCAGCCGGGAGCTGTGACCTCGGACGCCCTTCCTACTCACGTTGCGGTTGAAGCTGTTGCCCGGCAGCAGAGGCAGGGCCATGGCGCTCAGCGTCCGAAAATCGAGAGTCCCAGAAGAGAGGGCCCGGCAGGCAGCGGCCGCCTCCCGGCCGCGTTGTTTGGCCCCCACGTTGCCTGGAGACTGGAAGCGGCGTCACTGAGGGAGGAG